CCCCGTGTATGCGCGCTCCTCACCACTAGAAACAACTGTACATCTTTTAACCAGCAAATATGTTTACTAAAATAATAAAACAAATGTTTTTGAAACATTGGTTTGAAATTTTGATCAAATGTTGAACTGTCCATTTAAATTCTCTTAACTATTTAATGTTTGATGCTGTAACCTGAGGAAAGAGTTTAACAGATTGAAAAAATTTGTTTTGTTATTTTCTTAAATATATTTGTTGGTTAAAAGGTGTATAGTTAAAAGGGTATAAAACAGTGATTCTTGTTTTATTAATTTAATTCCATTTAAAGTTTGAAAGCTATAACAAATTTCTTTAATTCTAAATATTTTTGTGTTCAATAAATTTTTCGACTTTTATCCTCTTCCAACTTTGGTTCTATTGTTAATTAATGGTAATCATGCAAAACAGAGTCAAAAATGGAGAAAATAAATGGAACCAATTTGGTGTGAAATTTATAGACTTTTAAATCTTATGCAAAAAATTGTCTACATTGATAATACCTACATCAATATAAACTATGAAATTATTTAATCAATCAGACAATAAACTAATTTTGCTAATAACAATAACAGAACTGTGGCACTAATGCTTACAAGTAATGCTTTAATGGAGTTTAAACTAAATTAAAATATTACAAATGCTATTACTTTTAGGCCAGCAGACTATCTTCAGATATTCTAAAACAATTTTGTTTTTAAAATAAAAATCATGTGATTTAATATATTTTGTTGTAGAAATTTTAATTCCTAAAATAATAATAAAATTTTTTAAAAATTATTTAATCTAAACATTTTGAAAATTTTCTACAATATCTAGATATCTTTATTAGAATAATTCTTCCCCCATTATATTGCATTTTATATTTATGATTTTTATTTTTTTTTTATAATATTACAAAACTAGACTAAAGATTCAAAAGAAACTATAAGCTAAATTATTATTATTACTATTATTATTATTATTTTATAAAAAAGTTTCTGATCATAGGTCTATAGGAGTGAATTAAGTTTCAAATAATTTAAGATAAAAACCTGTAAACAATAATGTGAAAACTGATAATAGCGAGGTTGCAGCCAAAGTTTTCATCTGTAAAACGTGAATGTCAACCACCTCTGTCTTGTAAGAAGCACTCGACATTCATGTTTTACAGATGAAAACTTCGACTGCAACCTCGCTAATGTGACATCCAATTTAAAAAGATTTCTTTTATTACAAATGTCTAAAATTGCAATTTGTATACTATTTCTAGGAAATTTATTTTAGAAAACCAGTATAACAATAAAAAAAAACCCCAAAATTTTACAAATAGACTAAATGTTAAATTTTATAAATTCAATATTCTGCATTAACAAAATTAATTTTATAAGCCCAAGATTTCTAATTTATACTAAAGATAACATAACAGTCTCAAAAATTGACAGATAAGTGTAAAGAACGAATGATTCACACTGGATAAAATAATGAATAAGAATTTTAAAAAAAATGTATAAATTGTGTTATAAAAAATATTTTTAACTTATATATGCTTAATAACTGAATACTTAAAAAATTTTAGATTGTTTATTTACTTGTTAGATGATCAAAAACATAAATGAATTTTACAGTCTCATAATAAGTATTTCCTTTGTTAAGAATATTGCTTTCTTGAACTGAATTTTTAACATTGATAGATTGCAAATTATTTCAGTTAAAGATTTCATTCATCTGAAATTATGATGGTTGAGCATGTAAATCGTTAACATAATTTTCTATTTGTAACTTCTATCCAAATCCAGGTGAATGAACCAAAATAATGAATTTTCCAATTATCTCTCAATTTTAAAAAATTTTTTGAAGTCAGTGATTCAGTTTTTTCAAATATAGTAAAGAATAATTATCTTTGTAAAATTAAAATTAAATTACATTTAAATAAAGTTTAACGTATTAAGTAAACTCGATTATAAATTCAATCATAACTAAAATTTGGAAATAAAATATACAATTAACTTTATAACATTATTAAGAATCATTAACCAAATGAATTATATTTAAAGAAAGTTTAATGTGCTATGACAACAGCATATTACAGTACTATACTTTGAATTCAATATAGATTTTTATATATTTATTGAGTAACACAGACCCATGATGAAATATATCAAAAACAAATTCAAAGTATACAGACTAACAATCCATACAAAATTTCATCATATCAAATGATGAAATCACTCTATTTTTAATACAATTCAAAGCAAGTTAATCATTATGTTATTTCATAAACGGTTTCTTTTTCTTTTAATATTTGGCCAAGTTTCTTAAAATTTTTTCAATAAAATAAATGTTTCTTAATTCATTACTTTTTATTTTCAAGCAATAACAACAACTATTTTCAGAATTTAATTTAATTTTTTAAAAAATAGAACAAATAATAATTTCAAATTTTATTTTAATATAAAATTTGAAATTATTATAAATCAAAATAATTGATCATTATAATAATGTTCAGGAACACAATCTTTCAATTATTTTTCTTTAATAATTATAATCAGTAGAAAGATTATAGCATTAACATAATGTATTTTATCCTAGACTTTTCCTTTGTGGATAAATAAATTTTTTTTAATCTAAGCTATATTTTATTTTTAATGATGATATATTTCATACGATAAATTATCTATAAATTGTATTATGTAATTGAAATTGTAATTAATTTTATTGAGTCCAGCCAAAATTAGTGATCCAAAAAAAGTTAACTGACAAAATAGGCCATCATATAAACTGATTAAGTAGAATAAAATGAGAAAAATCAAAGGGTCATCTTTTATTAATGTGATCAATTTAATCTTATTTTATGATGATGAAATAAAAGTTATAATTTTATTTTAGAAAACCAGTATGAGAACAAACATCAAGTTCATGACGTGTTACTCTCAAATCTTTGAAGTGCAGTCGCCTATAAAAATTGATTTTGTGCCAAATTTGGAATAAATCTGTCTAATCGGGGAGGTCATATTTTTATAAAAGAGCACATCTATTATAAGATACAGTATATTTCCTTCAAATATTTAGAGCAAAAACAGTTCATTTGTATGGAGAACCTTTCATAAACAAACTGTACTAAAAGTTAACAATTTTTCCTAAAATATTAAATTTTTAACTTGATTTTTTTTGTTTATTATTTGAACTTATAAAATAATTATTTAGCAATAAAATAAAAAAATATGAATGTATAATAATTGCAAACAAAACTTCTTAAAGTGCTATCTTATGCCAAAAGAAAAATTCCAACCTATTTCTTTATAAAAATAGCACTGTGTACAAACATTCATTATAATGTTTACAAGTAAATAAACTTCAAAGTCAAATACAAAGATAACAAATTATAGTTCCTGAGTATAATAAACAAAAACAATATAGGACAATTTTATTTATTTTGTATGTACGTTTCACTATGAAGTGTTTAAAATTTTTGTTCACGACTTAAAAACTAAATTAAACTAGAGATATTCCTAAAAAAAATTATGTATCTTCAATTTATTATATAGAAATAATTATGTTCAAATTTATATAAAAAATACTGAAATTTAGAAATACCTCAAAGCTAAGTTCTGAACTGGAAGGAGTCGAAAACTGAGAATCTCTATGAGTATCACTAGTAGATTCACTCTCAACCATCTCATTCCGGGTAATCTCTTGTTCTTCATTATGAATATTTGCACTTTCCGGAGGATCGTTCGATCCATTAGGAATAGACTGCTGAGAATTATGCACTTGTTCTTGATCTACTAAATAAGCAAATATATCGTTCGACCATGACGGAAATCTATCATATCTTCCCAAGGAATTCAACTCGGCAAATATCGAAAATCTATCGTACATTAAGTCAATGCTTTTAGAATGCACATAATCACCGTAAGAATGACGTAAATGATGATACTGAGTAGGCGAATACGCTAAATTTGTTCCTAGAAAGATGTCATGAGTCTCGAAGCGATTTTCCAATCGTCCATCCAAATACATGTCCAAATCCAACCGCAACAAACTGACTAACAAAGCCAGCTGCAGCAAGTCTGAATTTATTATCTTCTTATAACGAAACATTTCCTTTACTTTTTTCGAACGAAAGAAGACAATACCTTCCAATTTCCTCTATTCAGTAGTATAAGCTCAAATAATAAATACGTAGCTCTGTAATGAAAATCATTCATCCAGAGCCCATCACCGATCACGACTTCATCTTAAGATCATCACGAGAGCATCTTCTTTAGGTAACAGAGTACAAATCTTCGGCTATCTTCTCCGGAGTAACATCAAACAAATCAGCTGACGGCACTCTTATATTGTTCTCATACAGTTACATCAGGAACGAGACCTAAATATGTCAAGGATAATAAATATATACGTCGATTTCCACACTAATTTTTCCATTTAGTTAGTTTGTAATTAACGACAAAAAGATATTAATACGTATACAAGATTAAAGGATAAAGAAGAGTAACATTGATTAAGCTAATGGAATAAACATGCCAACAATCGATATAAAGATCACCTACCACTCTCGACGCACATCAGACGGATTGAGTGAAACAAAGAATAAGCTTCAAGGTCGTAAGCTGCCTTTAAAAGACGCAATTTACGTCTCTTCATATACCTAGTCCAAGTTGAACGAACCAAATCCCGACCAAAGTTTGGCTCCGGTTCTGTTTACTCGACTACTTTAAAATCTTGACTAATTACGTATCGAAAACGTATCCAAGTTACCTCACGGGATACTATATGGGTTCATTCGCTTGACTTTTCATATATAATAACGTTTAATTAACTGTTTACAGAGATTTCGAGTAGAGAAATTGTCGCTAAACCACCGACGTCGACTCGATAAATGACTCAGCATTCGTGTTTACTGCGCATGCTCGTTTCTTTAGCTCTTACGAAATCGACTTTTTTAAGAGGAAAGATATCGTTCTTTTTTTTTATTATTTTGCCCCAAGTAAAACAACAACAATAGGGGAATTTTTAATTTCAAATAATTTATACATATTAAATTTTATTTTAATAACTTGTGGGAAAAGCGGATTAATATTTTAAGTTCGAAAAAAATCCAAAATATAACAATAATTCTATTAAGTTCTTTAATTAAAAAAATCTTATTTTTGGCGCAAAATTTATGCCAAAAGTTTAAAATAACTTATGAAAGCGCCTATTGATAAAGCGGGTGTGGATTATACCGCTTATTTTTCAAGTTTTAAACGTTACATTGAGGGCTTATGTATATTTACAATTTTATTTATAGAGAAGTTTAAAAAAATTTTATACACATAAAAAAATAAATCATGCAATGACCTATATACAGCTTAACCATTTTTAGAAATTCGCATTTTAATAAATTACTTTTATAAAATGCTATGACCTATATCATCAACCATTGTCATTGTCATTTCTCCTTCTGAACATAATGATATAATAATTTATATTTTTTTAAATATATTGATTACTTTCTATGGTAGTATTTAAAAATAAACAATAATACATGCTTTATAAAAAAAAATAAATTATTTTTTTCATAGAAACAATACATTACCAACTGATGTTATCTGTAAAATTTCAGATCTGATTGATTAGGATTATTTTTCCTGTGATATTTTTATCTGAGATACAAAAATATACCAAAATTTTAAGTACATTTTATGGTATATTAACTAAGTTGTGATTACGAAACTTATCCTACATTACAAAATTAACCAGCTTCATTTAAATTTCAAAAAGTTATGAAAAAATTATGGATTGCTAGAAATTGTTTAATGCAGATATTTATAAAAATTAAAGTTGTTGTTTTTATTATTTTTTTTTTATTAAATTAATGTGTTTCAAGATTTGAACAGCTGAAAATGATATATTCTTATTCATATATTATTGCTTTGGTTTGATAGTTTGGTTTGGTTTGATATATTATTGCTTTGGTTTCATGACTAAAAAAACACTGATTTTGATTTTTTTGCATAAATAAACACCTTCAGAACAGTACTTTTATCATGTAAAATGGCATATTTTTACCTCCATTACATTCCTATCAGAGATCATATGTGTGTCATCAACTTGTATTCAATTGTTAGACAATTAGAATTTTTAAACACTTTCCTTATAAAATTAATATTTTTATTAATTTAATTATGCCATTATCAAAGCAAAGTTACATAGTTACAAGTTGTTTTTGTAATTTACATAATGTGGAAATCACTGAGGAGGGGTTGGAGTACATTATACCAACCCGAAATATATTTGTAGTTCAATGGAAAATAAATAATAATTTGCTAACCAGAAATTGCTGTGAGATACGTCTACCAAAGTGTGTTTTTTTGGATTACAGAGACGGATTTACATTTTATATATTAAATACCAATAATATGTACAAGGGCAGTTTTTTCTCAGCTTGTTTTATTTAATAAGTATGCCTGTCTTTTGTATTAATCTTTAATTATTTTATAAGCAAAAGTAATACAGAAAACAAAAACAGAATTTATTTTCATTTTGGACATTAAATTTTTTTATTTAAAAATATTTGTAAAAAATTATTTTCTTGTATAAATAAACAAGTCAGTAAAAAAATTAGATGATGAATTTATTTATTTTACCTAATTGTAAAGAAAATAAATTTATCATCAATTGGTATATTCATCTGAAAATTGTTATATACTTAGGCTGTTTTTTTTTTCAACCTCCCATGGTCCATAGAAAAAAAAACAAGTGTAAATAACAAAATGATTTTATTACCAAAAGTTAGGTCCAAACATGGTTACTTTTCGAGATAATCACCATGAAGATTGAGGAATTTGTTATATCTGTTGATGAGCTTTTCCATCCCCCTGTCATAGAATGTTGCCACCAGTGAATTGAGATGGCCTTAAAAATGTTGGTTTGAAGATCATTAGTATCAAACCTCTGCCCTGTTAGCCACATTTTCAGTTCAGGAAAGAGGTGGACATCTTCACACATTAAAAAGTTCCAAGCTGGGTGGAAATCTTCACCACCTTTAAACACCAGAGTATAGCCCCGAGTGACTTCCACCTCTTTCCTGAACAGAAAGAGTGGCTAGGAGAGCAGAAGTTCAAGACTAATGATGATCTTCAAAACAACATTATGGTGCATCTTAATTCACTTAATTCTATGACAAGGGGATTGAAAAGCTCATCCACAGATATGACAAAATGCCTCAATCTTCACGTTAATTATGTCAAAAAGTAACTATGTTTGTACCTAACTTTTGGTAATAAATTCATTTTGTTATTTACACTTGTCTTTTTTTTATGGACCATCAGAGGTTGAAAAAAAAAACAGCCTAAGTATATAACAATTTTCAGATGAATATACCAATTGATGATAAATTTATTTTCTTTACAATTAGGTAAAATAAATAAATTCATCATCTATTTTTTTTACTGACTTGTTTATTTATACAAGAAAATAATTTTTTACAAATATCTCTCTCCTTCTCAGCAATGTTAATTATAATATATGAACAATTTATATTTTTACAAANGTTATCTGTAAAAATTTTAAATTATAAAATTAGGATTGGAAAATTAAAAATCTAAATAAAATCATTTTAGTATCCAAAGTAAGCATAGTACTATTTGTATCATTTTATACGATTAGAGAACTTCTGAACATTTGTTTTGCTAAATAAATAAAACAGTGGTTCAATTCCAACTCAGTAAACTAACAGTGAAATCACCACTAGAAACAACTGTACATCTTTTAACCAGCAAATATGTTTACTAAAATAATAAAACAAATGTTTTTGAAACATTGGTTTGAAATTTTGATCAAATGTTGAACTGTCCATTTAAATTCTCTTAACTATTTAATGTTTGATGCTGTAACCTGAGGAAAGAGTTTAACAGATTGAAAAAATTTGTTTTGTTATTTTCTTAAATATATTTGTTGGTTAAAAGGTGTATAGTTAAAAGGGTATAAAACAGTGATTCTTGTTTTATTAATTTAATTCCATTTAAAGTTTGAAAGCTATAACAAATTTCTTTAATTCTAAATATTTTTGTGTTCAATAAATTTTTCGACTTTTATCCTCTTCCAACTTTGGTTCTATTGTTAATTAATGGTAATCATGCAAAACAGAGTCAAAAATGGAGAAAATAAATGGAACCAATTTGGTGTGAAATTTATAGACTTTTAAATCTTATGCAAAAAATTGTCTACATTGATAATACCTACATCAATATAAACTATGAAATTATTTAATCAATCAGACAATAAACTAATTTTGCTAATAACAATAACAGAACTGTGGCACTAATGCTTACAAGTAATGCTTTAATGGAGTTTAAACTAAATTAAAATATTACAAATGCTATTACTTTTAGGCCAGCAGACTATCTTCAGATATTCTAAAACAATTTTGTTTTTAAAATAAAAATCATGTGATTTAATATATTTTGTTGTAGAAATTTTANGTTTATTTATACAAGAAAATAATTTTTTACAAATATCTCTCTCCTTCTCAGCAATGTTAATTATAATATATGAACAATTTATATTTTTACAAATATTTTTAAATAAAAAAATTTAATGTTCAAAATGAAAATAAATTCTGTTTTTGTTTTCTGTATTACTTTTGCTTATAAAATAATTATAGATTAAGACAAAAGACTGGCATACTTATTAAATAAAACAAGCTGAGAAAAAATTGCTAATAGAAAAATTTTTGCTTATTGCAAAATGAATCGTGTATTTCAAATAATAATTTTCATATAAAATTACATATGCCTATTGTATATGTAATTATGTGTTTTGAAATAATTATATTCATAATCTGTATAACAATATAAGGAAAAAATTCAGTTTTGAAGTAGCTCATTAAAGGATAATATTTATATATTTTAGAACAACAAAGGGATTCTTCACCTTTTAGAATAGAATTTCAGTGATGAGAAGTTTACATTTGTATGTCTTCAGTTATAAATAAATTTCATTAGAATTACTGCTAGATTTATTTTTATCAAAAAATAAAAAATGTAAAAGATTTTAATACATTAATTTTAAAAATTAACAGTCAAGTTTTCATAAGCAAATGATGACCTACAAATATTAATTTCATATTACTTGAATTTTTAAAGTAAAAATCATATAAATATCTTTTTTATTTTTACTTTTGTTTATAAATAACTGCTATATAATCTAAAAAATAATTTTTTTTAAGTTTAAAAATCTGCAGTATTTAATAATAATAAAATATTTAATTTAAAACTGTTTTTTTTTTTAGTTATGTAATTCACCTATTTTTAATAATAAAACTATATTTTGCTTGGAAATAAAATATTTATTGCTGGTTAGTTTTTATTACAAATTTTAACATAAAAAAACTTTGTGTATTTTATGTGTTCTTTTATAAAGAGATAATAATCTGTAATTAATTATAATAATTATTATTTTAATCACAATATACATAATATGATTCATAATAAAATTTGCATATTGTTAAATAGTATTTAAAATTTTTTATTTAGATTTATGCATTATTGTTATTTTATATTCTTCTAAATTAAAAATATATATTAAATTTATAAAAGTCATTTATATAATTTTCATATTCTATGTTTTTTAGAGTTCATTAATGTTTTAAAACTGACATTTATAAATGCAATCCCAATGAGTCAATTATAAGTCATAGATAATCTTGATTCATAATCTACTATTGAATATCAGTTTATTTGATATCAAACTATTGGATATTATAATATACTATTGAAGATATATTTAAAATTTATCTCTAAGGTAATAACCTTAGAGATAAATTTTAAATATATCTTCAATAGTATACTTAATCTCTAAATTTGTTTAGAATTTAGTAATTACAGTATTATTCATAACTGTATAACTGAAAACAGGTTTTAGTTATCTTCTCATCTATGAAACAGTTACAACAAAAATTGAAATCAAATATATCATAAGTTTTATTGATATCATTA